TGTGTTAAGTACCAAAAAATGTTACCAATAAAGTTCAAATGAGGTGTTGTGGGGATTGAAAGAAGAGCCTGAGATTGTGTATACTTAATTGGAGTCATCAGGAAAAGGCTTCATAGAGGTGGTACTCTTGAAGTGATCTTATAGGGTGGGCAGAATCTGACCTGGGGTGGTGGGGTGGATAAGGGAAAGATTTGTGGGTGTTGATGACTGCCAAATGCCCAGGTAAATAAATGAACTCCTGAAGAGACTCTTAGATTGCCTATGTGGGTATGTGTGTTGTGCACATCTGTATATTGTGAGCATCTGAATACCTCACACTTAACTTGCTTTGTAATTCTCTTCAAATATAAAAGACTAATGATTCTAAGTAGCAAAATTGTCCAAACTGTGTTCCCTAGTTCTCCTGAGAACAAGAACACCTCTAAGCAACATTTACTATTAATAGATGTTCGTGTTTATACTGGCCAGGTAGGAATGAGGTTGTTTTTTTTTTTAATTTTATTTTTCCAGGCATTTGTGAATGGAGCTACTCCTGTTTTTTTTCTTTTTTTCCTCTTCAAGTATCTGTTTTCTAGCATGTTTAAACATTAGACTTCCTGTTCTGCTTGATTTTGAAAGCATTTCCCGTTCACCTATCATAGGTAATAGCATTTCTGTGTAGCTGTAGTTTACAGGTAGCAAGTTCAGACAGCCACCAGTTCGCCCCATTGTGAACACGGAGACCTCTCTGGACTCACAATTAAAGGCTACATAATGCATTCCACTACAAGTGACGAAATCCAGCGCCCAGAATAACAAGCAAGACAACTTTTTAAAGTGACTCTTGTTGACCAGTGTCTCCTGTGCATTTGTTTGGTAAGCTTCTGGTGGATTTTTCAAGAGGCTAGAATGAATTCTTCTGAATTATTCTCAAGGAAGAGTGACTCTTCCTGATGGCAAAGCAGATGCCCTAGCATACACACCAGCAGGTGACTGCCATGTTCCTCGAGTCAGTGTGACTCTGTTAAGAACGTTGAAGTTGTCCTTCTGCTCGAGTCCAGGGAGAGAATGCTGAAGCTAGGTGAGTGAAAACTGCTCTCCGATGATCTTGGGTGTGATGTCTTTGTCAGAATCTGGCAGAAAGTTCAGATGACTAAGTGACATGGTGTCGCTGTGTACCGGGAAATGATGTTTGTCATGGCTTTAGAAGGGTCGTGTTCAACACATCCTTGCTTTTCTTCTGCTGTGGCTCTGGATGTGGAGAGCCAGTGGTAAGCTGAGGGGAATATGAGTATTGTGGGTGAAGAAAATGGCATTTGAAGTTTGCATACCGTTTCATTTATAAACAAAACGAACGGTTAAAATGTTTCAGAAATGGAACTCTGAAAAACATTGAATAGATTTGTTTTACCTAAAGTTTCTGCATTACATTTCCACTCATGTCTTAACTGTAGGACACCTCTGGTCCTCAGTGGTCTGGCTGCAGTGGTAATACTGTGGGTGTACTATAAACACGAGGGAGTTTATGTTTTCCCCCTGGGCCATTGTCAGAATATTACTGTTGCCATTTTCTCTCATAGTCAGAGAGCAATTTCACCTTATATATAAAGCCTTTCGTACTTTTAAAATAACACCTTGGACTTGGTTTTAGTCATACTAATGCTTCTACAAGTAGACTTAATTTTACTTTCAAAGAAAACAGGAAACCTTACCAAGAATCAAAATAGAGTTTTCAAACAGCATTTAAAATTATATTGGCATTTACACACTTTTGTTCAAGTGAAGGCATAGTATTTGCTTAGGTTTATCTAAACTTTTTTTCTGCTCAAAAGGCTTTCTGGAGCTTAAATTGAATACTAGGAAAAATCTACAAACTGGAAGACATAGGTGGGTGTTGGAATATCTAGTCTCTCTGCTCATTAATTAAATCCTTGGCAGCTGGTACTATTTTGTGGAGTCATGACTACTTCTCTTGGATGGAATGTGGTCACCTGCACATCATTTATATAAAATAAACATTTGTCTACCAGACACCCAGAATTGTGCATGTCTGTCTAGTGTGTGTATGTGTGTGTGCTTTCTACCTAATATATAAACATGCATATGTGTCTGTGACTGTACATCATGGTGTATATACAGTCAGGACCAGAGCCCGGTTTGCTTGGGAAGGTTTTATGGAAGAAGTGAGTTTGGGGTAGAGTTCCAGAGTGTGGGTTAGTAGTGAACTTTGGCAGAAAGAAATATACATAAAATGTCCAAGGCTAGAGTGATTAAGTCATATGTGTTCATGGGTAAGCATGAACTGCTTGAAAGCAGATTGTAAATCAGTGGTTGAAATAGACCAAAGTGAAGAGGGAACAAGCAGGTGAGAGCCAAGCAGAGAGCCAGAGGGGCAGGGAGGTGGGTGGGACTCTCTACTGCAGTTGTGAATTTCCCCTGTGGGCAGCACGTCCTGCCCATGTCGCCATCTAGTGGAGCTGGCTGAAATGTACATGGGAGCGCCACCACCTTTTCTCATTTCAGGATAAATTGTGTGATATTTTGGCAGTAAAGAAACGTTTCTCTTTTCTCCAGGGGTTTTAAGTGAAGAATAGAGAGATAAAATAGATGTAGTTATGTACCCCCCCAAATGATATTCATTTAGACTCTAAAAATATGGAACCAGATGTCAACCAAGAATTTCTCATAGACAAAAGTTTCATGAGAGTGCTGGGTGTACATGGCTCCGAAGCCAGGGCATGCATTTAAGCAGTTCTGTAGCAGAGAGAAGCATACCACAGCTGGCCCTGGGCCCTTGGGGTTTTCACTTGGGTCAGCTTGGTTTTTTTTCATGTGGTTAGAGTTCATCCTGGTGGCAGAAAGCACTCTTTCCTTAGGCACCACAGTCCACAGATCTCAGAGCCAAAGACACCATGGAGGTCGGTACTCCTTCTGCCCTCCCTCTCACCGATCCATGTGAGTATCCATTCTGCAAATGCTTGCTGAATTTCTGTTACGTTCTAGGCACTCTTCCAGGCACTGGGGAAATACCAGTGAAAAAATTGCAACTCTTGGAGAGCTGGCATTCTATTTGAGGGATACTGACAATTAACAAAGTAAATAGTAAAATAAATAGTAAGTAGGATACTACATACTAATGAGAAAAAAATGAAGTTGAATAGAGAAATAGTGTGTGTGTGTGTGTGTGTGTGGGGTGGTGGTGGTGGTGGTGATGGGATGGCAGTGATTGCAATTGGGAAAAAATCCTCACTGGGAGTGTAATATTAGACACACCTGAAAGGTATGAGGAAGCCAGACAGGGATATCCTGGAGCAGAACATTACAGGTAGAGGACAAGCAGCTGCAAAGGCCCTGAGGCCCGGATGGCCTGAAGTGTTTCAGAAACAGCTGATGGGAGGAGATATGAGTCTTGAGAGCTGGTGGAGGCCAGATTAGAGGGGGCTTTCTTGACAGTTGTAATGAATTTGATTTGTATTGGGCATGAGATGAGAAGACATTTGATCTAGACTAATCTTCTTTTATAAATGAAACTTAGGCCAAAGAAACCAAGTCAAGTGTCCGTTGTCATCCAGCTTTGTAGTGTCAGAACTGGGATAGAAACCTGCCTCTCTACTCCAGCATTCTTCCCTCCAGCCTGCCTGCCCAGCTGGGGATGTGTGACTACACACTGGCTCAGACGTCCAGGTGCAGTGGTCTGAGAGGAAGCAGAGTTCTGTGGGCTCCTCTAGCAGCTGTGTTTCTGTAAGGTTCTTCTTGGTCATTCCCTCAGTGTGTCCTTTACTACCTATAGAGGCTCCAAAGCAAACCTGAGCACAGGTGAGACCTTTTCCCCCACAGGAATATTATGCCAGATACTGCTTTCCTCAATTTTGACATGGAGATAAATTCTTTGGGTTTTCCCCCCCGTAGTTCTCTCCCAATCAACTGGTGAGTTCAAGCACCTACAGTCTGATGATGACTACCCTATTCCTTATCTGCATTCATGTTTAAGTTATTTGGGCATAGTTAATATGTGACAAGGTTTCCACAATCCTAAAGGGTTCAGTCATAGTTCCCTGTATGACACCCTCCTCATCAAAGTGAGGTTGAGCATTAAACACTATTGAAAATTTGAAAACAGAATTACTAGTTGAGGAGGGAGTGTGAACTCATTGTCTCCAAGTACAGCTGAACAGGGACAGTTTGTGTCCATTACTGTGTTGTCTTCTTGCTGTGCATTTGAGTCATCCTTCTTCACTGCTATGACTAAAGACCTGACAAGAACAATTTTAGAGGAGGAAAAGTTTATTTGGGGCTCCTGGTTTTAGAGATTCAGTCTGCAGACAGCAGTCTCCATTCCTTGGGGCTTGAGGTGGGGCAGAACGCTATGGTGGAAGAGTGTGGCAAAGGGAAGCAGTTCACGTGGTGAGCAGGAAGCAGAGAGAGACTCTACTCACCAGACACAAAATATATACCCCAAAGGCATGCCCCCTCCCCATTAATACCTCCTCCAGCCACACCCTACCCACCTTCAGTTACCACTCAGTCCTGTCAGAGGATTAATTCACTGATTGGGTTAAGACTCTTATAACCTAGTCATTTCTCCTCTAAACCATCTTGCATTGTCTCTTTTGGGGGACGCCTCACATCCAAACCATAACACTGTGCTTTGAACCAGCTCAAGCCTTTTTTCTTCTTCTTCTATCTCTTGTATATTTTATGACTATTTTCTTCTGGACACGGGCCAAATCCTCTAATATCATTCTCTGATGAAGGTCAGACCAGTGCTAAGAATAGAAGAGAATGACTTTGAGCTGTCACCTGCATTGTCT